GTCATACGCTAATGCCCGTCGCAACGTTTGTCGACTAGTTTTGCGGTTTATATATCGCCATTCATGGAGCTGCGTAGACTAAACTGCAAGAACTGAGATTGTTAATGTGGCAGGGCCAAGCGGCGCGGCGGGTTGAGGAGCTCCGTCCAGGTGTCACAGAGTTCCTGCACAACCGATTCGGACTGAACAAATCGGGGGCTCAGCCTTCGTCAAGCGCACCTCCTCCACTTCAGCATCCCAGTGCATCCCGTCTGGGCAAAGCGGCCATCCCCACAGCTGTCGATCCAGGTCGTGCACGACATGACGCTGCCGAATCCAGCTCCTGTCAGCCGCAAAAGCGGATCGCAAGAAACCCCGGCTTGTTCGTTCAAAAAAATCTGCGCAACGTCGTGTGCTCAAAGCCTCACTTGGGCTAGATTCTTGTCGTACTGGGAGGTGAGCTCCCAGTGCGCGGCGTACTTCCTCGGCGACCCCCCAACCCGTACTCTCCATTGCCCTTCCCCGGACACGGAAGTTAAGAAGGGACTGGCAAGACTGACAAGGATGTTTTTTACAGCTTACATTGGGTTCCCCATGTGCCTGGCAAGGGTACACTGCACGACGGAGAAAAAAAACGCATGCTTGATGTATTCTTTTGTATTCATGAACATGGCGCATGACACGTTGCATAAACCCACGGACTGCTTGAAACACTGCCGCGATAGCTCAAATCTACTGGCATCCGATGGACCCCCGGGCCCAGGCTCCGCAACTTTCTCCCTCAGGAAGAAAACTGACAACGGTCACCGCCACCAGAGAAACAACTCGGTTTGAAACTCCGGCCTCAACTTCGCTCTTCAGCGGAATTCCAACACTACATCCAACACCACAACCCTACACATACACGCGCACGCCGTCACCCGTCATAAGCTCCCAAGCCGCGTAGCCCTTACCCTTGCTCTTCCAAAGATCTGCTTGCGGCCGAAGGCACCTGGAGCTGCCCCCCACCACGAACACCACCCTCTCAGCCTTGTCCTCCACCAACTCCATCAGCTCTTGCCAGGCAGCTTTGACCTAGGAGCATTTTATGACACCATTCGAAGCTCAATGATGGAAGACTGCTTGGCAAATTCATGGCACCCCATACACAGGTTTGTTGAAGCTGGTCAGTGCTATGCGCATGATGAACAAAGCAGGGCACCTTCGGGCGGATCTTCCCATACATCACATCGTTGCCGAAGTAGCTTATACCCAGAGTTTGGAAAGTCAGTCGGGTTTCCTTCAGCATCTGGAGGATCTCTTGTACGCCGGCGTTGGGGACGGCGTGATACCAAAGGTTCTTGGTTCCCAACTGTTGTTGCAGTTGGGACCCAATCCGCCTCACCTTCTTGCCGTTCTTGCAGTACAGGCTCGAGTCTCCGATGAGGCCATATTGCACCATGAAGTCACCTCAGCTAATGCTGTTTGGGATCTAGCAAGTCTAAGCCTAGGCGACATCTTCGCAGCAGGCTGGCCCAGAACTGGCAGGCACCGTGCATGCTTGCCTATCTGTTAGTTTGAGGTGCCAGATGTCCAGTACTTGAGCATGTGCAGGTGCGCTGAAGCTTGCCTACTGAGTCGAATGATGCAACGAACTCAGTCAATACTTTCAGGAATGAAGGTACAAGGCTTACAGAAATGCCATTTTCTCAAGCTCGATGTCCATATTCCGTGGGGCAGAACAACATGCTGTCCCTGCGAAGATCCGTTTTGTTAGAGCGATGTCCGTCATCTGTGGTGCAAAATGTTGCATCCCTGGCAAGATCCGTTCTGTGGCTGCGCCTGAAGTATCGCATGCAACAGCTGCAACTTATCTATGAAAAAACACGGGAACAGGCTACCTCGAGCGTACGATGGAGCCGTAAGCCCTAA